TATATATATATCTTAAATATATTATAGTATTATAAAGTAAAAAATTAGCCTTCTGAGAACATGGAGTCACGTTTATCACTCCTCCCTGCCCCAGGGGTTCCTGCAAATACAATGTGGAACCATCTCAGCAGTGTCTGTGCTGCATCAGGACAGAGCCCAGCCAGCAGGGAGCGGGACCAGCGTCCTGCCTGCCCCCAGCAAGGGCTGTGGGATGGACCCATCCTGCAGGCAGCACAGGGGATGTGCTGCAGCTCACACACCCATGCAGAGGGATTGGAACAGCCAGGAATGCAGGGAGCAAGGAGAGCCCTACCTGGGAGCCTGGAGCACCACGAGGACCAGGAGGACCTGGCAGGGCCTGGGGGACAAGAGCACCATGGGTGACACAGCCTTGGCTGAGCCCCCTACCAATTTAACTGCAAGACTGGCAAAAGGTCTCTATTGTAGCAGCCAAAATAGCTGCTAATAAAGTCCAGGGTAAGGAAGCAAAAAGAGCCTTTGCACAATACCCCCAGTTGTTTAATTCAGCTGCACACCCTGAGATGGTCAAGGTCCAAAGCCAGCACTCAGAGGGAAGCCCAGGTTTTTGTGTCCCCAGGGGTAGGGACTGACCAGTGTCATGGGAGCAGTACAAGGATGGAGGCCAAAGGGGGAATAGGGAGGGAGTGGCTGAGGGAAACAGGAACAAGGGGAAGGAGCCAATGGGGTCGAACAGCTTTTGAGAGAAGCTTCTTGTGTGTCCCTAAGCCAGGGAATGACTCTCAGGGTCTGCACACCCTCTGGCAAAGCTTTCCCATTTTCCCCATTCCCAGCGAAGCACAGAGAACTTGTCTGAGGCTTTCCAGAGGCTGGAGCTGCCCAGAACAGCAGCAAGCAATGCTTACCTTTGGACCAGCTTTTCCTGGAAATCCTGGTGGACCCTGAGCTCCCCTTTCTCCCTGTTAGCAGGCAAGAAATATTTCCTTTCCTCTGTATGTTTTAATGCAAAAAAAATCTTTAAAAAGCACAACAAAACAAACAAAAAGCAGCTCTTAGAAAAAGCCAGAGGTGTTTGGGCAGAGAAGGTGCTGGAGTGCCAATGGTTCACCTGCTGTGGGAGGCAGATCCAGCTGTTCTCCTCCCACCATGGCTGCTGGAGACTGTGGACACCTCCAGACCCATCCACAGGCTTCAAAACTCATCCCAACAATGCTTCCAATGCTCCCAGTGCTGGAGGGGGTGTCCCATCCCTACCTTGTCTCCTCTGCGTCCCAACCTCCCACGGTCTCCAGCAGCTCCTGGGTAGCCCTGGGAAGAGCTCGGGGTTAGGAGGCAGCTGGGGCTGCCTGGCATTGCTGTATTTTTGGGAGAAGGGAAAGGCAGGAGCCCTGGGAGGGTGGGGAGTGCCCAGCTGGAGGCTGCTGCAGCCTCCTCCCAGTTTGGCCACCACCGTGTCCCCTCTGTGTCCCCTCCATCACTTACATAGGTGCCCACAGGTCCTTGTGGCCCCTCCAAGCCCGGCTTCCCAGGCAGCCCCTGGCAGGCAAAACAAGGGAATCAGCAAAGCCTCACTCCTGGGATGCAGTCAGGCCCCCTCCCTTGCTCAGTGATCCCACAGGATCCCCTGGGCTGAGTCCATGGGATCCCCCCAGGGCAGCTCAGAGCCTCTGGGGGCTGTGCAGCACCATCATTGCCCCAACCAGCCCTCCCCAACCCCAGCTCTCACCTTTGGGCCCAAGCAGCCCGTGTCTCCATCAGGTCCAGGCTTTCCTGGAGAGCCCTTTGGGGTTATTTGGGGAGGAGGTGTCAGTCAGAGGGGAGAGGAGCTGAGCCCCCATTGCTGCCCCTGAGCTCATGGGGCCAACAGGGTCACAGGGGGCAAACTCGGCCATTGTGGCTGGTTCTGGTGGCTCCTGCACACCAGCCCCCATGGCTGGCAGGGCTGCCACCAGGGCAGGTGACAATCCTTGCTCTCCACATCACCACCAAGCCCAGCTGAGTGCAAGCTCTCAGGGAGGATCTGCTCCAGGTCTCCATCCCAGGTCACTGAGCTGGAGGGACCCACCAGGACTGAGTCCAACCCCTGTCCCTGCCCAGCATCCCCAGCAACCCCACCCTGGGCATCCCTGGCAGCGCTGCCCAAAGGCTCCTGGAGCTCTGGCAGCCTCGGGGCCGTGCCCATTCCCTGGGCAGCCTGGGCAGTGCCAGCGCCCTCCCCCTGAACCTGTGCCACCCTCTGCCACTGGGATCTCCTCCCAGGACCCAGAGCCAGCTCCTGCTCAGCCATGGAGGGTTTCCATGAGCTGCCATTCCCCATGGCTCAAGAAGTCTGCACAGTTCCTGGAGCAGGCTGATTCCTTGGGGGAATGATGCTGCTCTTCCCTAGCCCCAGTTATTTCCACCACTGAGGCTTTTTAATGTCTTCTATCAACCAGATATGATCAGGTCCTAGAGATGCCCTGATTCCCAAGGAAATTCCCACATTCCCCACCAGCAGCACCAGCCCCACTGACATCCCACCTAGAAAAGCACACACAGTTCATGCAGAGGAACATTTTCTATTTCCTTACTATGGGTCCAGGAGTTCCAGCATGCCCACGGCCTCCTGGCAAACCAGCAAATCCCTGGAGAAAAGGGGAGCAGAGGAGCCATGGAGGGAGGGCAGGAGAGGAGGATGGGGAGACTCAGACCCAGGTGTGAGCCCCACCCAAAGCACAGGGGAAGGGTCCAGCCTGGTCAAGGCAGCCCTGGGGCTTTTCCTTAAAATCCAGCTCCTGGATTCCTCATGGAATCACTACACAGACAAAACACCCACTCATGCCCCCAGACATTCTGTGTGATGCTGGCAGCACTCAGGTGTGTCTCTGACTCAGTTTTCAGCCTCTCTTTTGAGGGAAGCACCAGATTTTTATTTTTTAATTATAGTTTTTTTTTAAATCTCAGAGCAAAGATAAATATATTATATCCTGCAGAAGGGAAAACCTCCTGCCAGCCCTGGTCTTGCTGCTGGATCTGTTCAGAATAGCAGTGCCAGGGGTGGGCAATCCCCCTGCCCTGTTCCCAATCCTTCCCCCTCAGCAGGATTCCCAGAGGAGCACCCTGAGCTGCCATGGACATGCTTTGGAGGCACATTCCCAAAGGGATAAAGCTGAGCAGTGGGATGGAAGGGCAGAAATCAGCTCTACTCACCAGAGGTCCCCTCCTGCCTGGGCTGCCCACGATCCCTGGGGGGCCCTGCAGAGAAGGATGAGGATGAGGATGAGGAAGCAGAACAGTATCTCCCAGTCCCCATCATGGCAAAGTCCATGGAATCCTGGTCTTGTCCCACACAGTCACAGGGATGGGAAGTGACCCCAGTGATGGCATCAAGGTCTTGTCCCACATGGCCCAGAGATGGGAGGTTGGGAAGTGTGGGAAGTGATCCCATTAAAGGTATCAGGTCTTGTCCCACACATTCACAAGGATAGGAGGTTGGAAAGTGACCCACTGATGGTATCAAGGTCTTGTCCCACATGGCCATGGGATGAGAGCTTGGGAAATGACTCCAGTGATGGTATCAAGGTCTTGTCCCACACAACCACAGGGATAGGAGGTTGGGAAGTAACCCCATTGATGGTAACAGGTCTTGTCTCACACAGTCACAAGGATGGGATGCTGGTAAGTGACCCCACTGGTGGTATCAAAGTCTTGTCCCATATGGCGACAAGGATGGAGGTTGGGAATTGACCCCATTGATGATATCAGGTCTTGTCCCACATGGTCACAGAATGGGAGGTTTGGGGGGGTGCCCCCAATGATGGCATCAAGGTCTTGTCCCACAGAGTCACAGGGATGGGAGGGTGAGAAGTGACCCCACTGATGGTATCAGGTCTTGTCCCACACTCTTAGAGGGATGGGAGGTTGGGCAGTGACTCCATTGAAGATATCAGGTCTTGTCCCCACAGCCACAGGGATGGGAGGTTGTGGGGTGTCCCCATGGGCTCAGCTGCCCCTGCCCACCCCTGCCAGCACCCTGTCCCCAGGCAAGTACAGATGTAGGATGGGAACCTGTGTACCAGGCTTTCCTTCTGCGCCCTCCGCTCCCGGCGCGCCCCGCGAGCCCTGCAAGGAGAGTTTGGGTCAGGATGGCCCCACAAGGGCTCCTGCAGCCCCAGAGCCTCCCCTCAGGGGGACAATGGGGGACATCAGCTGTGGATTCCTCAGTGCACAGCTCATCCCACAGTTCCAGCAGCTCCTCCCTGCTCCATCCCACCTCGGGATGGGAAATAACATCCATGTGGGTGGGGAGCTGTTCCCACCAGCAACACCTCAGCTGGGTTTTCCCACCTCCTGCCCCAGCTATTTATTCCTGGCTCCTTCACCAGCCTCAGCTCTGAATAACAGAGCTTCCTTATAAAGGTCTTTCCTGGAATTTTCTGTGCTCAGCGTTCTGGAGGAAGTAGTGGTGTTGAGCAGGTGGTTTGTCAAAATGCAATGTGCCACAGCCTGAGCTGCTCATCCCCAACTTTTCCTGCTCAAATTCCTGACCCTCTGGTCTGGCCACATCCCAGCATGCTGCTCCCATGTCCCAGAGCTCCCCATGGCAGCACAGGGGTGTGGGATACCCTCTACTTACAGGCAGTCCAGGCACTCCAACCAGCCCACGCTGCCCCACACGGCCCTGCAAAACACCAGCAATCACCAAACCATCCCAACGCTGCAAAGCACCAAAGCTGCACATCCTTGTCCCTGAAGGATGTGCTCTGTCCCAGCACATCCCAAGCCAAGGGAGGAATGCTTCAATCCAGGCTTGTTTCAATCCCTCCACAGCCAAAGCTGCTCCAAGACCCAAATTCCAGCACCCCGTTAGTTACCCGGGCTCCCCGTGCTCCTAGGGCTCCCTTGGGGCCATCAGGTCCTTGGCATCCCTAAAATCCACACAAAGGGAAAGACAGGCATTGCAAATCTACAGGGATAGGGCAGGGCAGGGGGCCAAGAGGCTGGAGCCCCCCAGGATGGTGCCCTGGGAGCCTGGCAAGGTGGGCACAGCCCTGTTTGCCCTGCAAGGCAGTGGGCAGCCCCGGGAAAGCAGCAAATTCTGGCACTGACCTTGGGGCCCTCGCTGCTGTTGAGCCCTGCAGGGCCAATCTGACCTTCTTCCCCCTGCCAGGAGAGAGGGGAGGAATCATCCAGGGAAAACACAGCCCCAGATCCCGGGGGAGTCACCAGCCTGCTGCTGGTGTGGGGAAAAACACTGAGAGTGTGAGCAGAGGTGACATCAATAATGGCTTGGTGAGCAATGGGGACTTCCCCCACTCCCCAGGGTTAAAAAACCAGGCAGAAAGAAAAATCTCAGCAGTTTGGTTAAGGATATTTTTGTTTCCTGGTGGACAAATTAAAGGCAATTCCAAGGAGTGCTGTGCCAAGGCTGCTGCCTGCTCCAGCCCAGCAGTGCTGCCTGGAGGGGGGACAAGGCAGGAGAGGATTCCTGCTCCATCCCCAGCTCCTGAGAGGTGGGAGCAGGTGTTACTCATCCTGGAGAGCCAAAGAGCAGGTCCAGAAAGGTATCCCAAAGGCCCTGGGAGTGGGAGGGCAGCCCCTACAGACTGCAAAGGTGGATGGGAAAGTAATCCTCTTTTTCCTGAGGAGCTGGGAATCACTAGGGATCAGCAGCCAGCCTCAAACACGGGCTGGAGGTGGCTTCAGTCTCCCAGACAGCTCTCTCAGAGCACACACTGCAGGAAGAAGCATCCCCAAAGCCCTTCAGGCTGCCAGCTCAGGCTCCAGGAGCCAGAGAGGGGCACAAAAGGAACAATCCATGAACATTCTTCTCACAAAAGCTGCAAAGGAGCTGACCCAAAGCAGGATCCTGCAGAGTTGCTGGGCTGAGGCAGCTGGGGAGGGCTGGCAATGCTGTGCCCGAGGCTGGTCTACCATCATCAGTGAACCCAGCAGAGAATTTTGGGGTGAAGAGGTGTGGAGCAGGCAGAGCACAGCTCGGTTTGCAGCCCCAAGGTTGGGATTCTGTGCCAAGCTCCCCAATGCTATTAAAGGGATCCCTTAGGGGAGATCCCATAAATCAGCACTGCCTGACCCCTCAGGGCTGTCCCCACACAGGTGACACATCTGCTCCCACCATGACACTCCATTCCAGCAGTGGCACTCACGTCTGGTCCCCGTGGCCCTGCAGCCCCTCGGGGGCCAGGGAAGCCCTGCAAGCCCCCCTGGCCCCGGGTTCCTGGAGGGCCTTTTGCTCCTTGTGCTCCTCGTGGGCCCTTGGAGGAACAAAACACAGAATGTCACCAAGCAGGGACAGCAATTCTCTGATCCACAGGCAGGAATTCCCCTGGAGAACCCATCACTGGCATGGGGAACAACCAAAACCTCCTCCCACAGCATCCCTGGGCCACCAGAATGGGGAAATTCATTGTTGAAACAGCCAAAGTGAGGTGGAGCAGGGAAGGATGGATCAGGTGGTGGGATCAGCACAGAATGAGCTGCCTGGCTGTCACAGAGCCCAAAACCCAGCAGGGTCCTTCACAGACATATATTCTGAAAAATCCTCTTGCTAGGATCCTTTTCTCCTGAGAAGCTGAGAGGCCTCAGAAACGAAATGTAAACAATGATTATCTGCTGCTGTGGAATGCAACAGGTGCATCTGTGATTGGCCCATGTGGTTGTTTCTACTTAATGGCCAATCACAGTCAGCTGGCTCAGACTGTGTGGTCAGTCAAAAGATTTTATTATCATTAATTATTTATATATAAATATATAAGAATATTCTTTTTATATATAAAAATGATAATTTATTATTATCATATATATAATTATATATATTATCATATATATATTATATAATTTATTATTATAATTTACTTATTCCTTGCTAGTCTTCTGATGAAATCCTTTCTTCTATTCTTTTAGTAGTGTTTTAGTATATAATTTTCTTTTAATATAACATCTATCATAAAATAATAAATCAGCCTTCTGAAACATGGAGTCAAGATTCTCATCTCTTCCCTTGCTGGGGTTGCCTGCAAATTCAGCAGGGCCCAGGGTCCTCGGGCAGCCACAGCTGGTAAAGCACATCTGGGCAACAGAGGGAGCAGCTCCATGAGCTGTGCCCACTCCCTGGGCAGCCTGGGCAGTGCCAGCACCCTCTGGGGGCAGAGCCTTGCCCTGAGCTCCAGCCTGAGCTGCCCTGGCCCAGCCCCAGCCGTGCCCTGGCTCCTGTCCCTGGCCCAGAGTGAAGAGAGCTCTCATCAGAGCACACAGCCCCTCCATGTCCTCTCCCCAGCGTGACCAGGTGGCATTTGGGAGGTTAGCTGGAAGTGCTGCCCCCTCTCCCCTCCAAAAACAGGGACAGGGGCGCCCTCAACCCCACATATCAGGCTCTTCCTGGGAAATCCCTCCAACCTGGGCTTTATCCCCACCAAGGCCCCAAAATGCTCTTACTGTGTCTCCTTTGGGACCAGAGGATCCCTCCAGCCCTGCTGGACCCTGGGAAAAGCAAAGGCAGGAGAAGAGGGATGTGGCTCCCTGTCCTGCTCTGTGGATGAGACCCCAGCCCACAGGAAGGTGCCTCACACCTCAGGGACAATGTCCTCACCCAGGGGACACAGCCCTTCCTACCCACCCACTCCTGAGGGCCACAAGGACCCTCAAGGTCAAGGATTTCCCATCCACTTCCCAAATGCATGGGGAACAAGCCCCAGCAGCTCCTGGAAGAGACCTGGGGGGATGCACCCAGCCCAGGACAGCCCCACTCACCTG